ACTGGGGCCCGATTCTCTAACGATAAACGTATGCGTAAACTCTGCTCTAACAGAAAAGCTGCAAGCTTATTGGCTAAAAACTGTGCGATAGCTAATCAATTTGCAGCCTTTCTGTTAGAGCAGAGTTTACGCATACGTTTCTCGTTAGAGAATCGGGCCCCTGATAGTAGATAATACTAAAAAGATTTAGTAAAAGAAAATCAAAATGTTCTTAAATATATCATGTATATCTGATGCGTGTGATTTTGGTAACAAATGTATCAATTATTATTAATGAGCAACACACGACAAAAATGAAAATAAAAATCTACTACGATTTACAAATTAATTCTAGCTCCTTGCTAATCGATTACACCTAGATCTATTTATCATTAATATATTTTAATGTTGTCAAAATATACGGCTAACGATATGATAAATAAATTGCCGATTTATCCTTCTAGCCATTATATTTTTATAAAGTTAGAACTTCTCTGAAAGCGTACGCTGATGCATTACACACATTTCAAATGTTTGATTATATATTTGATTACACCATGGTCCTTAAACATCTACGTTCACTTTCGCAGAGCTTACAAGATTATGTCAAATCGACCTGGGCCTGTGAAAGTATGAAGGGATTCACGAAACTGCACTACGAGTACCTGGACAAACAGAGATGTAAGTAACAACAATATTGCCAAACATATTCCCTCGATTGTATATATTAATTAATTGTATGTGTGTATAATTTCAGATGGTCTCAAGCACGGTTAAGACCGTGGTCTCAATGTATGTATGTACATGGACAACACTATTATGCTAGTATGCAACAAACATCCCCCATAGTCGGCAAAGATAACATACAAAAGTTCTGGCTAAATCTGTCACCTTCAGAACATATAGTACTTATATTTCTGAGAGGCGGACCCAAAATGCTAATATATTCGCACCATATACTCATGCACTCTTGACTATAAAAATATCAGACGAGTAAAAATATTCGAAAATATTAGATCCATTACATTTTATTCTGTACCTCGATTTTTGTGATTTAGATTTTGATGAAATTTCTGAATTCCTGAATTTCTTGTCACGCCTAAATAAATTCTCTTATTTCAATATTTGCGTGTCAAGATGATATCGGTATTTTTATTCACTATTTGTCTCACAATAATACACGATATTAAAAATTTCTTAAATTAATCTTCCCGTCTGTAACATGATATGAAATATTATGGAATAATAAAGCTTGAAATATGAAAGTGTATTACATTTGGCAAATAGATCCATAGATAGACAACCGCATGATTCTAGTCAAGGTTGATAGCTATGTGAAGTACGAGGGGTACTCCAAATTGAAGATCAGTCAACCTTCATAATCATGGCTGTAAGAAATCATAAATGACTCTTCTAGGAGTAATTAGTCAAATAACTACCAGTCTAATATAAATTAACTGATGAGACTGCTAGTTATAATTATATTATGATAGTTTTATAAACAGCAATAGTTTGTAAACTGCGATAATTTGCAAAGAAAATTTTGTAACATTTTAAAATTATATTTTTATAAATTTGTATAAGTTTTTATAATAAATATCATAAAACACTAATACAATGTGTATGTTATATTATTTGTCTATGATAATAGAGTAAAATAAGATACAATTCTGATAATACACATTACTATCCGGGGCAAAGCTATGAGTCATTCAAACTGGAAAAAAAAACAACATAATTCGGTAATTATTTTTATTTTTGCTTTCAATCTTATATCAATGTATAAAGCAATATTAAAATTTTGTATTAGTAAATCAGTACGTTGGTCGATTCTTGAAGAGAGTAATTTTACATCAAAAAATTAGAAATAAATACGAGAGAGTATAAATAGACATAAAATTACTATAATACACATTATATAAAACATTAATTTTAGTTATCTCTTTCAATAATACAATTTCATTCGAATAAACGTCTGGTGACTAAAATTTATTCGTATAAACTATTATTCGTTTCTGTTGAGCATGATTCTTTTGACGAAAAGAAGAGAAAGGAGAGCTTGATTAGTTTATCACAGGTACAAAAACATATTTAAAGAAACTTGGGAGATTGGATCAAAAGAAGAAATACATTTACATGATTAAGACTACTAGTGAATTCAATGTATACTATGTATACTACTAGCTGTAACGTATGATATAGGCAGTGTCATAAGAAATAGTTCATCGATGACTTATTTCCTGTATCTATTGCATTCTCCTTTAGTATCGAGCACAAGCCGAATGAAGTATAAGCCTGAAAACCTCCATAAAATCAGTCCGGTGCATTATCAGGGCAATATAGCTTTACACAGTCGATGTATTATAAACTACAAAACTTATAGCTTACTTGTATCCTCCGCAGAGATGCACACAGCCGACGCTAACGAGCATCTGCGTGGAACTTTGTAATATTATATCGTCATAAACAATAGAAATTCAACTGCGTATACGTAATATTTACTAAAGCTTATTCATTTCTTTTTGTTTTTTTTTTTAAGATGTAAATGCGATATGAATCATAAATACGGAAGAATAAGTGCGAGTAACAAATGCATGGATTATTTAAAAACTTCGATTGCGTATGATAGCAGTTAAAGAATACTGTACAAAGACACAGATAATACATATCGTATATTATTATTTGTCCGTTACTTTGTTCCGGCTCTCGCTTCATTCTGACATAACGTGTTTATCGATTAAGACGCACTTCCCATAAATTATTGTTACTGAATCAGTTCACGGTCCACATGGATGTCTTCAGGCGAATATTTCCGCTATTGTGCCTTTGGAAGAACCACACCATCATGGTTTCCATACCATCATGGATAAAAACAAAGCACACGACACTCAAAAATTGTTTGATTAGTTACATTCGATTTTGTGGCTTGTTTGAATATAATTTTACGTATAGGCGTAATCGATTACCGCGCGCGCGTGTGTGTGTGTGTATAGCTGTTATATCCAACTTACTCTATACAAATACAAAATCGTTTATATTGTCCCACAGTACACATGAAACGGCTTATGCTTAGGTGTGTGTCCGTATTTATATATATAGTCTAGTCTAAAAATCTCGCGTATAATAATATATATATATGTATATATACTAAGCACGACGTGTGTATAAAATTACATGTAAAACGAAATCGATTTATATACGCGGTACGTAAGCGACTCGAGGATATAGAGTTTTTAGCGTGTCGATATTTCCGCGCTTCGCGTTCAATATGCTCCCGCCTCATGCCAATACGCCGATTATATACTACTGAGAATTTTTTGCGTAATCGGTTATTCCATACAGTAACTATAATCATCACATTTACTATCGTATATGAAAACCGTCGTATGTCTCGACATAAAAATTCAATCATGCAATGGTGTATACGTTTTCTTCTCGTCTTAAGGCCGTATTTCTGCCAGGCCCGTGTGTTGCACGCTGACCACAGCGGTCTTCCAAAGATCTTCCAAAAAAGGAAAAAAACGCATGGATGGTATTGCAGGCGGAGATGTAAATGTATACGAACTTTGTAGAATTTGCTGCACAGGATTTCCGTTCGAGTTGTGTTGTATATCTCGTACGTATGCGTCCCTATGTGACTGCGTGTCGAGAAGTGTATACCGCGGCGACTCATGCAACTTTGGATTATTTTCACCCTAACACGATCATGCAGTCGTAAAGTTGTATTATCGATTAAGGACTTATTCACATTAAAATCACTCTTATCGTATTTGCTCGCAGATTAACTATGCTTCCAAAAAAAATTTCATTCCTTGATAAAACCTTAATTAGTGACTTAGATATATATTTATATATATTTATGTATACTATACGCCCACATGCGGATGCGACGAGATAGAGAGAGATAAAGGGGACGAGAGTGATGATTTCTGCGATCGGGGAACATCACAGGAGGAGGGCGGAGGAGCGCGGAAGAAACTCGCAGGGGGAGATGATGCTCGTTTTGATTTTTCACCCGGCTCGGTGCAGCTTTATCTTTGCACCGTGTTTATCACGTCCTTTATCGTGTTCTGCACGTCACACAAGAGTCTCGTGTTCTCGGTGATGTTGCGCGTGCCGGCGGCCCGTAACTGCCTCGCCTGCAGCTCGAGCCGGGTGAGCAGGTCGCGGAACTGGAATCTCGCGTGCGGCGCGATCGCCGTGTCCGTCAGGTTGACGCACATGCCGTGCAGCAAACCGACCTTGTCAGAGAGCTGCAGCCAGCTGGCCATGACGATGGTGGGGCTGCCCTTCAGATTCAGAATACTGTTTTCTATGACGTTCGAGATCTCCATCACGCTGTGTTTCGCCCCTTTTGTCGACTCGCCGCTGGTCTGCTTGCCGCCGTCGTCGTCGCTCTGCGACTTATTGCAATTCGGCGTGGCGTATATCGAGGAACCGTAGTGTTTGCTGGAGGGTCCGAGCGGTTTCAACGGCTTGGCCGGAACGATCGGCTTTTCCACTTCCAAAGTTACCGAGGACGACGAGGTCGGAGGCCACACTCGGGGGTCGCTCTTGCTGGTCGAGCTCCTGGTCGAGGCACCGCTGTGATCCTCCGGCGAGTCCTCGCTCGCTATATCGCCGATATCTTGCTTGCTACTCGCCCCTCTCACATTTAATTTAGGACTAAGTGGTTGGTTATCACAAGAAGCCTCTTTATTCTCCCACAATTTCTTTAGGCTACTAATACTGCCGGTGCTGCGGCGCTTGTCATCGTTCGCGTCGTCCACGCCGGACGACGAATCCGCCGAATCCGCGACGTTACTCCCCTGCGTGTTGTCGTCGAAACGCGACGACTTGCTCCTCTCGTCCGCCGTAGCTCTCTCTTTATCGACGTTATCCACCTTCCGCAATCGGGCCTTGAAATCGATTATCTGACCGTCCGGATTTTCCTCTCTCTGCGGATTACTCCTCTTATCTACCTTCTTTAATTTGAAACCTACGCTAGTGGCACTCAATACGTGGCCCTCCGTAATCGGCGAGGTCATCGGGATCTCCTTGAGACCGCTGCTCCTCTCAGGATACACGCCCTGCATACTCGTGTGAACGTGTTCCTGAACGCTGGACACGTCGTTGCTCTTCAACACCGAGATCGCATATTCGCTCGGGACGATATGCTGCCTATTGGCGGAATCCATGCTGAAGCTGGCGCACAACTCGGACAAAAGCTGCGACGCCGGATCGAGCGGCGCCGTTGACAGAGGCGCGTTGCTACTAGCGGCGCTGCCGATCTTCTTTGCGAAACCGGTACCACCGTGCTTCATGTCCGCGCTCTGCTTGATCTCGTTGATCAGCTTGAGCTCTAGCATCTCCTTCATGCCAGGTTTGGACTCGAAGGTGTCGGTGGTACCGGCACTGCTTACGACGCTGTCGATGGGCGGTGGCGGCGGCGGCGGAGGCGGCGGTGGTGCCTCCTCGGGTGCCGCCATCGTCGTTTCCAACGATTCCGCTTTAATCCCACCGCTACTCGTCGTCTCCTTTGACCTGTAAACTAATTTCTTCTCGTCCGTGGATTTACCGACACCGCCGCCGCCGCCGCAGTGCGCATCGCTAGTAGTCGTTTCCCGGCGTCGCAGATTTACGCCGAATCGCGAGCTAGCCTCCTTCACCGACGGTTCCGCGTTCCTCACATCATTATTCCTATCGTCCTGATCGTGATCGCTAATCTCGTCTTTGCTTCGCCATTCCGCTTTTACTTTCCTGAGACCGACCGGCGAACTTGCGATCTTCGCGTGAGAAGAGGTCTCGGTGCATGGTGACGCCGTCGTCACGAGTGGCGGTAGCTCGCAGTGATCACCGAAGGCTTCGTCCGGAGGGGGCGGCAGATCCACCGGCGGTGGCGGGAACTCCAGATCAGCCAGAGTCGGTTGGACCGATCTCGACGGACTGGCGGTGCGAAAGCTGGAATTATTCGGCGCTCGGAAGGTTCGTAGGCCGATTCCCTCCGTGTTAGTCTTCCGGATACCCACGGCACGGCTGCGTGGTGAGTTCGGCGGCTGATAGGTATTCACCACTCCGCTCGAGGAATTGCTGCGCGTCATCTGCGGTTGACTGCGCAGATTGTTCTGACGAGGTGAAAGAGAACGATGCTGCGGGACCACGTCGACGGCACTCGCGGTGATGATGTCTTGCTGCTGTTGTTCGATGACTGCGTTGGACAGAGAGGACGCAGCAATGTTCTCCTGATTCGGCGGCATGCCACTCTGTCGTAGGGACTCCAGATACGCCCCGATTCTGGCTCCTTTTGGCAGAGTGCCGTAGCGGTTGATCGCCCTCTTAACATTTTGCACCTCCAGCGCACCCACGTGTACCAGCTGAAATACATTTTCATTCTAAAATCGCAGAATCGCTTCCTCGGCTCGAGCATCGCAAGTTATTCAAGCAGTGCTAAATGCATTTACCATCGAAACGGATTTTACTCTGAGATTCTCAACACATATAAGACTGTTATCGTTACGGGTAAAGAAGGTATGTTTATGTGTCTAGTATTTATATAGCTCTGAAATTGTGGCCGCTCAACGTAAGATCATTGTACCTTCTGAGGCAGTACTTCCTTAGACGTGTAAGGTCGAGATTTAATTTGTTTCTGATTGCACGGTAAGTTGGATACTGGTTCCGGCGAGGTTGACGGTTGAGGAACAAAGTTATGTTCTGCTGTCCCTTGCGACCCATCTCCGTCGTCGTCCATATCGCAACCTCCTGTAGTAATTGACTGTGTAGCCATTGTCACGAGATCACGTGTGATACCTGAGTCGCCATTTAATAAAGTGTACTGTATACAATCTATAGCTAACATATCTCTCCAGCATGTAAGCGAAACGCGTTATAGAGGAAATTCCATTTCTGGAGGAAAGCTAAGAAAAGAACATTTGCGACGCCTATCAATCTTAATTCTCTGCTTTTCCTTCTCGTCACACTTCATTTCATTCATCCTAGGGGTCATTCTCCTTTAATCGACATTCAGTTAACAGCAGATCCTTAAAAATTATGCTCATTGTAATCCTATTAGTTAGTTAAAAGTGCCATGACATCGTCGACAATGAATAATCAGTAAAAATGGGAAATGGTATATATGACGTGTGTTAGTCTTCTGAATGATTTGTTGTGATATATGTATGAATAGAAGCTCAGTAAACTCACATAACACTGCTTGAACACAGTTGAGTTTTATACGATGATAAAATCGACGAAATAATAACTAATGCCGTTGCGCAACCGAATGTTTCAACCTTTAGAATGGGAATAATTAAACGAGAAATCAAATTGATACATATCTAGAAATCTAAAACCAAAGAAGAAAACGACGTTCTACTTGTACCTCTGCAGAAACAAATATCATGCACGAGTATATATGGGCTGTGTTGGGTTTGTAACTCAGTACGATAGATAACATATGTAAAGTACCGTCCCTTACTCGTATAAATGGGAACGGAGAACTGCAGCTACAATTTACAGTATGTACGAGATGCAAACGCTCGAGTATGCATTAATAAAATATATCCAAGTACTATTATATATATTGGAAATTAGTATTCGGCATGTATTTAACATTCAAGTATACATACTGGCTCGAGGAGAATGACCCACATTCATGAAGCCGTAAATCACTGTGTAGGCGGAGATGCATATCAAAATTAAACTTAAAATCAACTGAAAGTTGACGAAAGAAATTAAATGGAAGCGGCATTCGTGCATTCATCATTACACTTAATTTGATATAGTGGAATACCTTCAAAAATCTTATCAATACCATTTAGATCTGTGCCATCGTCAAGCGTCATAGTGCTCACTTCGACATTTTGCTGGTCTTGTTCTTGATAGGCAGAATCTCGAAAAGAACTGCACGATGATAGCAAGCTGTCGCAGAAGACACATAGTTTTATTATGTATCAAATCATGATTGTATATTTTATGAGAAAAAAGATAATATACCTTGTTCGTTTGGGAGGCGCTGGCGCTTGCTTTCCTTTTTTATTGGTAGATCTTCGCATTTGAACCATATTACTATTACTTCTACTTGACAAGCCACCCATAAAAGTACTCAGCTTGCTGACCGAACTGACTCCTTCTACATAAAATATATTTCGTTGAATAAATAACAATATACTAGATAATTTCATGATGTAAAACAAGACATTAAATTACAGTCAAATATTCTATCTCAAAGATAAAAAAATATCAGAAACGATATATAAAATTGTTTAATACTCCTTGAAATATATATAAAAAAAAAATCAATCTTAATTTGTCTTTTATCATGTTATAAGAATAGTTGACACCTTTATACATTTCAACGCTAAGCGTGACAAACAGTTGAGTCATTATCGATGCCATAATATTAAGTATTACCTTGCGTTATACCGGAAGAAGATAATTGCTCGGATACAAGAACAAGCCCATGTATATTTCCTGTACTTCCAGTTTGCGATTTTTTGTATGCTAGCAACGGAATTTCTCCTCCACCTTGAAGTTGCTTCTCTACCTCTGAATACGATAAGATACGATAAGAGCGCAGTTCTTTACACCCAATAAAATTAGGTATCTAGAACAGTTCATTTACCTTCGGTAATACTCGATTCTTGAAACATATTTTCTAATGAGTGGTGTATTTCCTCAAAAGTTGGCCTCTCTGCCGCTGACCACTGCCAGCACTGACGCATCAGTTCGTAAACTTTTGGTGGGCAACCAGGGGGACATTCCATTCGATAGCCTTTTTCCAACATGTGATAAACGTCCGTTAGGTCGACACCAGGGTAAGGGGACATTCCGTAAGTTGCAATCTCCCACAGCAAGATACCAAATGCCCACACGTCAGACTTTGTGGAGAATTTATTGTATGCTAGACCCTCCGGTGCAGTCCATTTTATGGGAAATTTCGCGCCAGCATGAGCTGTGTATGTGTCGTCTCTCATAAGACGGGCTAGACCGAAATCCGCGACCTTGACGAGATGATTCTCGCCAACCAGACAATTTCTGGCCGCCAGGTCGCGATGAATGAAATTTCTGCTCTCTAAATAACTCATGCCGCTCGCGATCTGTGTAGCCATGTGCATCAGAACCACAGCGTTGATCTGATGCTTACTCTCGTTCCGCAAGTAATCCAGGAGATTACCCTTGCTCATGAATTCCGTGATGATGTAGAACGGCGGTTCGCGCGTACAGACTCCCAATAATTGTACCAAATTCCTGTGTTTCATCTCTTTCATGATGGCCGCCTCCTCTAGGAAATCCTTCAACGCCATCGTATCCTCCTTCAGCGTTTTAACCGCCACGGTCATGTTGTATCTCTTCCAGACCGCTTCGTACACATCGCCATATTGGCCACCTCCTAATTTATGCCTCATTACTATGTCCGTCCTGTTAATCTCCCATTCGTCCGGCTCCGGACTCAACGGGAAGACGGTAGGCTTATTATGCTTTGGTGCAGGATATAGCAGTTGCGTTATAAGGCCATCGGCAAGCATTGAATGATGATGCACTAGCTCAGCCAACGTGTTAAACTTGCTCTCTGTCGTGACAAACATCTTTCCTTCGCTATCTTCGTTGATCCTGTAGTGATACACCCGACCCTCGTATCTCAAAGAGATGCTACGCTGTCCAGGACTGCTCTCCGATTCCCGTACAAGAAAACTACCGTTTATCCCCGAACTCAGCAGATATTCTGCAGCATTTCTAGATATTCTTCCATGGTACCAAGAGTGTTTTTCCAAAGAGTTCACGGGCGTTACATAATTCGATGGTACCCAGCCTACTTGCCCGCTGCTCGAGTGGGCCTCGCACCATTCGCCGCTTTTATTGTAACTTAGGATACGTACTTGTTCACCTGTTAAGAAAAGTTAAAGAATAGCATTTAAGTTACATGATATTTATAAACAATCAACGTGTACGCATCTAAAATACTTGATGAAATGTAATACGTAAGATTTAATAAAGATAAGTTAATACCCTTCTTCAGACTAAGTTGATTCTCCCCACCAGCTTGAAAATCATACAAGGCGACAAATAATTGAGGATCATCCTCTTCCTGTGCTAAGAGATTTTCCTTACTAGTCCACCTGTATATAAAAAATGAAAAATATTATTCCTAGAATTAAATAATCAATGATATAAAGATAGCAGATTCTTTTTTATAATTGATGCATTTATTATCTTTATATTCTAAATCTTGTAGATCATAAAACAAAGTATGTAAAAGAAATTACGTAACAAAGATTTCCTTCGTATTATATTAAAAACAATACATATAAGAATCTTTTATAATTCTATCTAACCTTACAGAAGTATGTAAAACAGTCATTATATAAGCATGACATATGTTACTTCAGACTTTAAACCACGAACTGACCTGTTTGCTGCTTCAAGAAGTCCGCTAGCGGACACACTGGCGTGCTGTTGAACATTAGCTTGCTGTGAAATTGATTGAACACTAGAACCACTTGGAGGATCACCTTCTGGCAATGCTGGAATGTGAGGTAGAGGTCTACTTTGCAAAAGTGCCTCTGTAAAAAAAATAGAAAAAGATCCTATTTGTAACCTTCAATGTACCAGAAGGAAGATATCCGATACTGAATCTCAAGGCAGATCTTTGCTTATGTAACGATGCAAGATATTGGAAAACCTCATAATTACATTCAAGATATTTAACATACAATGAGAATAATTAACTAGTCACATTTGTATGGAATCTCATGCAGGTAACTTTTAATTTGTGTCTCTCTTCTTACGACAGATATATACGCATGCTTGGGTATTGCAAAACCTTCAATTTAGCCACTAATGTCCGTACTAACTCAGCGACATGTGTGCCAATATAGACATCAATTTACACTGACTACAGATTCAGAAAGCGTTATCGTGAAACAAGATTCTTTCCAAATACTACTCTCTTATCATCGCTACTACAAGGTATCGCGACATTGTATTGTGTCAAGTCATGAAAGCACAGCTATGACAAACACGCCAAGCACAGGGAAAGCATGCCAGTTCCACCGTGAGTCACGGAGCCGTCTCGTGCGTCAACGGAACAGCCGGTGGAACGTGTGTGAGAGTCCCTCGACCCGGAGGTGGAGAGCAAGGTGGACGGACGTTAGCGTGCGTGTTCTCACCGCTGTGCTCGGTGAATATGTTAGAGCCTATGACGCGCGTATCCTTGAGGTTCCTGGGCTGCTTGCGCGTCTGCCGCACGGTGGACCCGGCGGGTATCACCCTGTCCTTGGTCTGCTGGGCGCCCATAGCGTATCGCCCGCCGATTACCGTACCATGCCCCACGTCGCGCTGGGCCCAGTCGCACCGTCCGGCTCCGGCCACCCTCGCCGCGCGGGGGCCACTCCGGCCACTTCACTTCCGGCACTCGGCAGGCGCCGGCGACGGGCCCGACATCGTCGTCGATCGTCGTCGTCGTCGTCGTCGTCGTTGGCGTAGACCCGATCCGCGCGAGGACTCCGCGAGCGTGTCTCGGCCACGAGCCACGAGCGCGCGACCCACCCACCCGATCGAAGCACGGATCACAGTGCGGGCCGCGGCGGGGCCATTCACATTTTTACATGTCAATTACCGCTCTCCCTCTCTCTCTCTCTCTTTCTCGCTGCCCCTCGCCATATTTGACAGCTTTTGACGTCGATTATTTAGTTTGTCGGTGCATTGCTGCGCGGCAGCACGACGCCTGGGCGGATTCTCATGCGGTGCCCTACACGACGGCACGACGGTGCCCCCGTTCGCACGTTCCTAATTCCGCGCTGTCCTGTCAACCGTGGTGTGGATCCGTGCGCGATATCGATATTCTTTTCGCGCTCGAGCGAAAGGCGCACGGACCCGCCGCGCCGCGCCGACCAAGTGTCGATGATCACTCTGCTTGATAAACTGGATTCTTTATCGATCCGGTCTTGGCTTTCCTTCCAGCTGGACAGCCTCTCTTTTTTTCCTCCTCGATGCCTACGCACTCATTTCATTTCAAGCGCGAGAAGTTTAACCGCGACGCGACTGGAAAAAGAGAACGAATCTGGTTAACAAGGCGGTCCGTAGACGAACGTGTGAAAACCGACCAATCACACGTGGATGCGAACCATCATCTTTCGAAGGCTCATTTTTCAGCCCAAACTTCTCGTACTCTTCCCTCCTTTCCTCTTTTTCTTTCTAACGTCTGGTTTGTACGCCTATTTCGCTCTAAGTGCAGCGAATGCAACGTGGTGCAGCCACAAAAAGCAAACCTTAAATTAGACACGAGTACAGATAAGTGCGGAAGCAACGAAAGTGAAAGATAAGTGAGGGTTCTCAACCTCCGATCACTTGTCAAACAATGCCCGTATTTTGATTTTTCATTGTTCAAAATGTGAAAAAAGGATTAGATCGGAAATAAAGTTACGTAGATAAAAATTTTGATTCAAGCGGCTCCGCCGATTAATTGGCGATTAAAGTTAATCGGGATTTAATCAAGGTCGCCGTAAAGAGTCCTTAGGGCCGGTCTACGATGGGTGTTGTAAGGGCCCGGACACACACTTCTGCACAACGCATAATGCGTAAGCATAAGAAAATTGATTGGTCCATACACATGTGCATAAGAAAATAGACCAATCAATTTTCTTATGCTTACGCATTATGCGTTATGCAGAAGTGTGTGCTTCCTGCTTAAGTCGTGAGTCGTAAGAATTGACCAATCACAATCCATTGTTCTTGCGGTCGAAGAATGGCCGCGTCAGAGAGAAACCTGAGAGAGGCCATCCCGGCATTTTTCGTGTGTTGC